TTAGCTACCCTTATAGACAAACTTTTTTAAGTACAAAATATAACTGTAAATTGAAGAATGCAATTATTAATATGGCTAATTATTGTCATCTTCACTATCAATAGGAGGAATGGGTGGTGGTTCAATATATGATACAGAAGACACCTGTAGAATAAAATGTTTTAAAATATTATATCTGAAGTATAAAGTATAGAAACATATAAAACAAACAATTACAGGGGATACAATAGTTTCCAGAACCTCGTTTAATTCTGTACTGTCTGTTTTCAAAACATCAGTTTCTACATTTCTGTTAGAAGCTGCCTCCAATTCCATATCACTGTTTTCATTAGTGTTATACAAAACTTGTAATGTAACATTCTAAAATTATATTTCATAAAGTTACAATCAAACAATAAATCATAAATAAATTATTCTACAGAGCACTTACTTTTATTGTACTTGCTATTATTGTTCTTATATAATTTGTAGAATAGGATTCATCTACAAACTTATCTAATAAAACGTGATAGATTTTATTCATTATATGTTTGATTTCCTTGTTTTTACTATCGTTCTGAAAAGTGTAATTGTACATCATAATTACATACACAATTCACTATTACACAAAAGAATTAGGTAAAAAATTTTACTTCTTTAACTTCTGCAGAACTTGTAGCTTCCTCAACAATACTGCATTCTTCAGAAAGCTTAAGCATTTTGTTCTCTAATATCTCTGACTGTTCCTCATCTTTGCCATTATATTTCTGTACTTCTTCTAAATTTTTTTTCGCATTAACAAATGTAGCATTTGAATTCTTTAAAGATACTTCTAATTCTTTAATAGTTTTAGATAAACTTTCATTAATTTGTACTAAAGATTCTTTTTGAATTTCAAGGTCTTTTGTATATTCTATAATGACAATCAAATTATTACAAGTATTAAATATATTTTAACAGATATACAGAGTATTCCATGTAACTGGGCCAAACGGTATTAGATGCTGCATATTCCTACATTACTGTTATGTATATTTCAGCATGCGTATTTCTGAAAATGCAATGTGTACAAATATGTAGTATACAACACCGTTAATCTCGTCCAAATTGCGTGGAACGCACTGTATAACATGCAGCAAAAGTTCTTATTACTTTCTGACTCTTTCAGTTTTTCTTCCAGTATACTTATTTCGTCTTTCATTTCATTTAACTGTATGCAATTGTCAACAGCTGTATTGGTATTCTTATGTAGTTGATTAGTTTTTTCTTCAGATGTATTCATGTTCAAAAGCATTTTCAAAGTGGTCTCCAAAACCGCTTTATCTTTTATAGGAGATGTAGCATTTTGAAGTTCAAGAACATGAAACTGTATACAATACATAATAGCATTTTTATAAATAATATATGATTTCTTGAGTATGTAAGTACCTTGTCAATCATTTTTTGCACATTTTCAACTATCTTAGACATTCCCATTCTAAGTTCTGCATTTGCCATTCTAGTTTCTGACAATAACATATTTAGTCCTGGATCTATCATTGTGGGTATTGTAGAAGGTACTGCTTGTGACTGCTGCAATGAATATACTTGACCATCCAACGTAACAAAATTTGGCTATAATTGACATACATACTAATGAAGAAATTATAATTATTAAGTATAAGTATATTTCTCAGTACAACTCGGTTCATATACCTGTATTTGTGTAGAAGACCATTGAGGAGTATATACAGATGAATTAATAAAAGGTTTACAAGCAGTATTTGTTACGGACACGTCATTTTAATTTTTAAATTAAAATTATTCATAATTAACTTAAAATTAATTTAAAATATATGTTTACTTACCTTCTTCTGATGAAACATTTTATGTCTCATACCACAAATACAGGGTGTTAAAAAAAAGCATCCAAGACTTTAGGGGCTTATGGTTCTAATTGAGGGGAGCAAAAAATACTTAATCAACATAGATCCTAAAACCTTAGTCTTGGATCTAAATCTTAGATCCTCTTTTCTTTTAACACTCTGTATATAATTCGTTATTTATTATTTGAATTACCATAAAAAAGTGGACTAAACAACTTTGTACATACTTCAGTATCTTCAGATTCTGCAGTAGCAGATGTAGGAAGTTTTGGTAATATAGATTGTCCCATTTTCGCCATTCGTGATATAATAGAAGCTTTACCACTTCCAATTTTCTGACTGTGAGAAGTTTCTTCTGGTGTTTGTACATCTACTATTTCTATATCTAATAAAACATCTTTTTCTTTAGGAAACCCTGGTCCTAAACTAATCTAAAAAATAATTATATATATATGTACATGTACACGCTCAATATGTTTCAGTTTATTAAAATTTTATGCGAAACCTGTTTATTAGGAGGCAGAAATAAAAGTCTTTTTAGTCCTATACTGCTTCCTAAAAGTGTCTTTTCCCAGTTATCATCAGTAGATATTTCTACCATCATTGTTTGAAATGCGGTAAGGTTACTTCTTAGAGGCTGTGTTATTTCTACAGTAATAAAATATTTAATATTCACATTATCTCCTTCTTTTGCTGTTACATCTTTATTAGTTGGTGATAAATCCTGATATAGCACACTTTCTAGTGTTCCAGTTTTTGAAAAATACCGAGCTAATCCTATTTCTTTAGCAAATTCTGTACAAACATCATTATTTTCAAATGCAATTGTCCAGTTTTCCTTATTGCTATCATAATAGCTTGAGTAATTATTTGGTTGTATTACATAGAAAAAATCATGTACCACTGTAACAACTGACACAGGCTCTTGTTTGTTTTTATACAAAATAATCTGGTATACTTTTTTTGCTACATTTGCCGTAAGGGCCATACCAAGTTTGCCAATTGAAATGTAAGTTCCATTTTGTCTACAAATAATATTAATTATTATATACACAGAAAAAACAATTACACTGATAAAGGATATCAAGCATTAAAACTCACAATTTGAATGCGTAAACTGCCTTAGCTATTATAACTTCTGTTTTGTTTGAAACTGTTTGAATTGAAGTACGAGGAGTATTTAATTTTTTAGGAACTTGTTTCACTGAAGAACAACTTTCTAATGTCTTAACTTGTGATCCGAAAATAGCAGCTAAATTCGATCTAAAAAACATTTACATATTTACTTTGAATATGCTATATAATCTGTTATAATAAGGTGATGTTTTAACTGATATAAAATTACAGAGCATCAAAGAAGAGAATAAAATGAAATTTTATAACAATTTGATCTGAAAGCGAAAAAATGACAGCTATGTACGTCACTAATATATTTTTATAACCAGATATTTTGACATGAATTAAAAATGTAACCTTTGTGTTATTTTAATTAGTTCTTCTATGAAAATTGTGTTTTGTATAAATGAAACAAATGTAACATATTCCTTTCAATCATATTTTTTAAATGACACATCTGCAAAAATAGTAATTTATTAAAAAATAAATATACCCTCCTGATGGCATAAAATCAGATTCATCATCGTCCCGCAAAATTTTATCCAGATTCAACATTTGATTTCCAATATTCATGATTATAAATTGAATTTCTTAAATAAGGATATATTCCTGATACTAAACAGTGACAAAAACATGGATTCAAATTACTTGTAAACAGTCAGTGACACTTTCCTACTTATAATTACTTAATTAATAAAATTACCAATAGGCGGCGTAGTAATTTTTATTTCTAGTGAAAAAGAATGAAAAAGTAAGGAAAGTATAGAGCATTCATACTAATTTCGCGCTAATGTTAGACATATAATTAAAAAAGCATGATTATATTAAATACTTTTCAGTATATTCTAAAAAGTATATTAAATAGTAATCTTACTAAAATTAATGCAATGAATATTAAATACTAAAACATAAATAATAACATATAAAGACAATAGGAATTATACAAATTTATATTTATGACATTTCATAAGTAATATTATTTAGGGAAAGGTACAAAATTATTTAAATTGCAATTTCTCATTAACAGTTATTATTCCATTATAACATTTCTCATTTTTCAGTTATTATTTACATATAAGATATCAATGTATAGATTTATTTAATGTTTCTTAGAATACAAGCAAACAAAAGTATGTTAAATACTTATTTATGCGTTATGATTAATATAATTTATTGAAACCAGTTAATACAACTACAATTACACATTCTATTATGTATTTATTTGATTTGAAAAGTGTAATGCTCTCCTTGTCCTGGATATTGTTTATCCATCTAAAACAATGAATTAATACACTAGTTATTAAACATAAAATACAGTTATTAAATTACAGTTAAAACATTAATATGTACCATAGGTTGGGATACAGTAGGTGCATATGATCCTAACACAATTATACCAATAAAACAAGCAATGAAAATGGCACTAGCATGGTGATCCTCTATATATTTGCGGACACCATAGTCATAACGATCTTCCCCCATCATGTCATCATTAAAATGCACCTAGAAATAAAATAAAATGACTAAATTATTAAGTAACAGAATCTACTATTACATTATAATTGATTTAATAATATCAAATATGTACAGGCTCTCCAAAATTTCTTCTTGTAACAGGAAAATCCCAAGGATAAAATGGATCTCTAGCTTCAACACTTATCCATGGCAAATCTGGATAATCTCCTTGATCACTCATTTCCTCTGGAAAAGGTTTGTACTCATCAGGATGCATCCCATATCTTTCTGCAGCTTTTAGCCTTTCTGCTTCAGTTCTTGGGTATGGACCCACTAGCAAAGGTTTAAGTGACACATCTAAAAAAAACGAAAAATATATCAACATTTTATACATAAAAATATAATCAATTGAATATTCATTTACCAAATGTTCAAAATTACAATCAAACTTCCTAGGTATTAATATTACATAAGATTTTAACCTATCAAAATGCAAAAAGAAATAACCTCTACATTATCTTTTTTTATAAATTCATTACTCACATTCTTCAAGGTCCCGAAGGGCGTAATCCATATCCATTTTTTTAAATTCTTCATATGATCTAGTTGTACACTTGAATGGTGTATTTTTTACAAATAGTTTCCTTGAGAACTGTCCAAGTTTCCTTAAAGCAGCCATTTCGTGAACTGTTTATTATAGTATATAAGTTAAGTATACACAGTGTTGGAAGAATCAATATACACTACCAACATTTATCGAATGGAAAAAATGAATTTTTATTTAATAACATTAATTTCAATGGAAGTTTTGAATATAACGTTTATACTACAAATATCAATAAATCTTAAACGTTCTGTCTAGTTTCGAGTAATAAACGAAATTATAAAAATCTAGGGTTTTAATATGGTTTAGCTCGAATAATCATTTTACTAAATCTGCTTTTTTAATTTAAAAGTCTCTTAAATGAGATGCTAAAATATATGTCCTTTATTCTAAAAAACAATAATAATAACAATAATAATGGAATTA